CAATCTCCATCACATCAGCCCGCCCCTTTTGCTGGGGAAATTATTATTTTGTTTAATGATTTGTGCTTGGTCTCGTAATTGAGCCAGGGAGAGGGATGGTATGTCATGTCATAACCTCCTGCTCTTGACCCACAATGGCAGGATGGAAAAACGAAAACGAAAAAGGAAAAAGGAAAACTATCGCAACAAAGTTGCTGCCATTATGTCCGTTGCTTTCCTTTGACCCCCTCCCCCCTCCAGATCCGAGGACACAAACCCATTCCAGCATGAAGAGTGGAAAATGGAAAATTCTATTTATAAATTTCACTGGCATCGATAATATTTCGCAACAGTCGCCTGAGCTGAAAGTTCATTGTCAATTGATTCGCCAGTCGAGCGGGCTTGGGCCCCTGCCCAAGGACTGAACTCCCCGTCCATCCATTATTAATCGAAAGTATTTTGTGACAGGAATTTCGTGTGCTGCTGCTCATATTTAGTTGGTGGAAGGAAAACTAAAAGCAAACAGCAAGGAATGCTCTCCAATGCTGTTGAGAGAATTTCCAAATTAGCTTTCATATATATAGAGGGGTAATTTCTGCACCGATTTAGGAAGGGCGAGGAATTTCAATTAATTGAATGCATAATTTCTAAAATAAAATATCAGCATCATTATGGGTCCTTTCATGTACTCGTACAAATACAAATTGCAGCTCATCGATGCATTAATCCAAAGCTCAATATGGCGTATAATTCAATTAAAAATTAAATGCAGTCATAAACAATTGACAAGGGAATGGGAATGGAACATGGGGCATGGGAGGCAGAGGCTACTGTCTGCTTAACTGTGGTTAAGCCCCAGTCATTAAACGAAAAAAACTCGATAGAGAAAATTGTAGTAAAAACAAGAGACTTAATTTAAAATCGCTCGCTGAATAATTATTTTGTGTGTGTGTGTACGTGGGCATGCGACGAAATGAAATCCATTTATCAGCGAGATATTAAATGTGAAAATTCCACATTTCATGAAACAATAACCAATGGGCAATAGCCAACAGCCGACAGCCAATGGTCCAATGCATCTGTTACGTCAGCGCTGCAACAAGAAGCAGGAAAATTAAATGCGGATTCCAATTAAAATAGGGAATGAATGTGACACACAATAGTCGGTTGCTGGCTGCAGGCTCTGTACTGGCACAGAGAGCCCTTTGCTGCCGGACTGATGCACGTTGCTGCCTATTGATAATGCTCTTTCCCACAAATGAGGCAGGAAGGAAAGCAATTCGCCTGCAGCTCACTGATATATATGCACACATCTGAGTATTGGTTGTCGAAATCCTTTATCCACAGTAGTGCCCACGAGCATATAAGTCGTTGTCCAAATATTAACATATTGATATTGAAACTATTTAATTAAATATTTATGTACGAAATTAAACAGTAAACCTCTGGCTTTTTATAACCCTTAAAAGAGTATTTAAGGGTATTTTCAGATCAAACACTTCCATCCATAGGAGAATGAGATTGCATTGCGTGCATTTCAGCGGAATTGATTTATATTCAAGCTACAAAAATCGAACAACTTACTTTTTTACACACAATTTAAATTGTGGTATCTTGTGCGCTTGTGTGTATGTGGCATCTCAGGATTCTGCCAAGTGCCTTCCACTTCATTAGGCAACGGCTCCAAATACGAGTACGTGTGGCAGCAGCAGCAGCAGCAGCATCAGTACTTTTCAGCATTTTGCTTACACTTTCGCTCGAATGCAATTTCGAATGCCTGCTCTGAGAGCCGTTCGTGTGTGCGGTGTGCCGTGTGCCGTGGGGGCCTTGTGTCGAGTCGAGTCTGTTTTTCCTTGCATTGCATAAAGGGGGTAAAGTAAAAAGTAAAAAGTAAAAATCCATTGCATAGAGCCGAGAGCTACACGCTATCCTCTGCTCGGCTGTTGATCTTTGCGTACACGCTTCCGCTTCAGCTTTTGGCGGACAAACAGCCGTGGGGCAGGCTGCTCAATGGAGGTGGCCAAATTAATTCAATTTGCACTGAAGCTGAAGCAGAAGCCATGGATGAGGTTGGGTTGGGTTGGCTCTGGGTGGGGCTCTTCGTGTTCCGCATAGACGATGATGGGCGGTCATTTGGCGCTCGAATGGCTCAGAGTCACCGCAGTATAGTTGGGGCTGGCTACCGACTCGATGTTTACTCGCTTAGTCGAAGAGGCGCCATCGTCTGATCTCCATCTACCCATCCCTCGCCCCATTCCGCATAGTAAATGAAGCCGAAGAACTTCACGTGCCGCAATACAAATTGAAAATCAATGCTGGGAAATCTCAAGCCACACGACTGCGCGCGCCTCTGGGCTGCGGCTGCTGCTGTGGCTGCTGATGCCCGACTCCAATTTAAGCTCAGTGGCGGCTTGGGGTCGGTGTCCGTGTCCGTGTCCATGTCCGTGGGCCTTTTAACCCATTCAAGTCGCCTGCCCCCATAAATTGCCGCTCGAGCTCTCTAGTGGCCATTGAGGCGGCCGCTTTGCAGTCCCGATGCAGGGTTCGATTTCAATGCTCCAACTATTAACCAACAACGAGGCGGTCTGGTCAGGCAGGATAATAAGAAAGACGGACACGGTGGTGGAATCTTTAACTCTCTCGGGCCTGTAACGAGTGGATATGAAATATAAGTGGTATTTTGATAGCAATCAGTTCAAGAATGTTATTGAATTGCTTGGCAGTTACGTAGCTACATATTTCCATCTACAAAAGTTAAACTGGAAACCGGCATGCCCCAGAAATACTTCACATTGTCTCCTTGAGGGCGGGCGCCTTGTCCACTTGACTTTTATGAATTGACTTTTCCCATGGGAAGGTCCGGCTGCCCCGCCATCCGTTGCTCAGTGAAGATAATTAAATTTAAAGTTTACCCCTTGGCTTTTTCTCACTCTCTCTCTCTCTCTCTCTATCTTCACTTCTCATTCTTGCTCTTTGCTTTCACTCATTCGCATATTTATGAGGCGTTCGCTGGGGCTGGGGAATAGCCAAGGCAAATGAAAACAAGGTGAGGTGTGTGTGTGCGGTAAAGCGTATGTATGTACATACCTTCCACCTTGCAGTGGCGACACCTTGAGCATAGTTTTGCATAATACTTTTTACAGTTGCTTTAAAGGCATTCGCAGGGGGAGATGTGGAGGGCTAGCTGCATCCGTCAGAGAACGTTTGCAGCCGGATTGATCCTGGCCCTGCGGCGGACCGTGCGTCCCCATTCTCTTTTTTACCGTAATAATGTTTACTGCACCCACCACGCGTGTGTATGTGTGTGTGCAGGTGTATTTACCGTAATTCAGCTTACAGCTTCAGCTTCAGCTCAGGTGAGTGTTGCATAAATTTGCAAATATTTTGCAAGTCAGCAAGGCGGGGCAGCTGTCGGCAAAGGGGAAGAAGAGCGGAAAGGCAGGATCCGCACCAATCCCCCATCTTGTCGGGAACATCATCATCATCAGCATCGTCATCATCATCAGCCGGCAGCAGCAGCAGCAGCACTTGCAACGACAGTCCTCTTCGGCAGAGGGGGCGTGCGTTTGTATGTGTGCGTGGGTTGGGCCACAGCAAACAACGTGAAAGGCGCAGGTTGCCGTGGAATTGATTTTCCTTTTTAACGATGTGCGGCGCACACAGTACCCATGTCCGTGCACACCTTTCGCCCCGCCTTCGCAAACTTTCCATTTTGCCGTCGCATGTTGCAACATCAACAGTTACAACAATGCAATGAACAACTTTGCCTCGTGGCAGACATTGCAAGTCATTTTTCACATTCCGCTTGGTGCTCCACGCAGCGAGAACAGTGGGACAGGGGAAGAGATTTCTGGATGGGATTGTTTTCCACAGTTGTTCCAAGAGATGCCTGTGTCCATTTCCTTTCCATTCCACAAAATGCAACTTCATACCACTGTGCAGGACAGCACAGGGGAATGGGGAATGGGGAATGTTGTCCTGTCACGGGTTTTACCTGCAAACTGTTGTACGAGAGTGCTCCCACCCGCACTCGCATTCGTTATCGTACCTGGACTTTTACTTTCTGCACTCAACGCTTGCCGCCAGCGAATCGCAGAACTTGCAACTTATTGAAAATATGATTTGAAATTCAATTTGGGGGCCACGTGACTTCATTGTCGTTGCAGTCAATAAAATGGGAATACATGTTAACCTGGTCCCAACATAAAAGCGAGAAGTCAGCCAGCCAGCTACAGCAGTTTACACAAATGTAAATATTCGTATAGACTCACCCCACTGGCAGCAGTGGCTGTGTCCGGGCACAGGGCTTTGGGGCCCTCACCTCATCAATCATTGCGCTTCGGAGTGGGGATTGCATCTGCTGAATGTGCTCGTAGGAGCAACCCCACTTCTCCTCGCAATTAGAACTCTTCAGATATTCGAAATACTTTCGGGCCACAGCTCCGGCCAGTCCGAATGGGGCTAAAGAGCAGCCAGCCTGGCCTGGCCCGGCCTGAACGGAGAGCAGAAACAAAGTGAGCAAATTGATGTGAAAATGCAAGTGATTCGATTTTTCATGTCCAGACGAAGGAAACGGCACGCCCAGCACAGCACAGGCCTGGGACTCGCTTTGATTGTCCTTCCTGACGTTGATTTGATGAATTATTGATTAGTTTGATTAATCGTGCCACTGAGCAGGCAGCACGGATGGACTCCGGCGGAGCATCTGCCTTTGGGGGCAGGCCCCTCCCATGTTAAATGGTTGCCGTCTGGCCAATCGACTGTTGAATGCAGTTTTATTTTCGGAGGATTAAGGCTTGAAGGCCGCCTGCTGCTGCTGCTGCTGCTTGTGGGTCCGCCCTCCGCCCATTAAAGTCCACATTTCCGGACTCCGACACTCCTGCAAAGATAAATGGGTAAATGGAAACTGTGGAATGGGGAATGGGGAATGGTTGGGGGAAAAGCAGCGAAATGAGGCGAAATGCCGAAAGTGCGAGGAATATGAAAAGACAACAGAGCCAGTAATTTGCAGCAAGGACAAGCGAGCAAAGACCATGCCACAACAATGGCCGTGTTTGTCCACGAGGACGTGCCCGGGGTGGAGCGGCTGTCGAAGCGGAGGCCACAAAAAGTTACCCAGCGTCGGACAAGTGTCAAACATGGCCAAAAAGAAATACTCGACACAAAAGCGAGCAACGAAGGAGAGAGAGCGAAAATGAAGGCAAACATTACCATAACCATTTTGACATACAGGACATCCAGGCAGTCGCCCAATCTGCAGCCATCATCGGAGCTCTACGATCTTGGAGCATCGCTGCTGGACTTCAATTCAAATTTCCACGCACATATTTAATAGATTTCCTGGCGCATTTAGCAGCTGCCTCACCACTCGGAGGGAGTTTTGTTGTCTTAAAGAGGAATGAGATGCCACTTTAGCTCCAATTCCATTCACTTCCAACTGTTGGCTCCATTTGATATAAATACTTGATGGCAAGTGACTCTTGATGATGCCCGGACTGCTGCATGAGTAAACGGAAAAGGTTGCAACAAAAAATTGACAACACAACACATTAAATGTGAAAAAACATTAGCCACGACATTATTATTATGCTGATGGACGGGAACATTTGGCCGACTTCCGGCGAACATTAATCAAAATCATAAACGAGCCCAAGGTCCAAGGAGGGAGGCTGCAAATAAACGGAATGGAGGGTGAGGCTGTGGCTGTGGCATGCATAATGTTCAATTTTTATTGCGAAACAGAATCGATTTCCTCATGTATGCGGAGGCCGGTCAGAGACAGAGACAGAGACAGAGAGCCCAACCCACTGGGGAACCAGCGACAACTCGAATGACATTTGCCATTCACAGCCATGGATGATTAGGCATCACGCACATACATTATGTATGGGTCTAGGCTCGGCTCTCCCCTGCCAATAGCCAAAGAATGCTGGGTCCTGGGTGCTGCCTTCTGGGTGCCAAAAGGTAAGTGGGCCAATTTTGCTGACTTGTCACTTCCGGTCAAATGGCTCTGAATGCCGCTGAAGCTGAAGCTGAAGCTGGAGCCGATGCCCAGCCCCAGAGGCAGACATAAATCTACCCGTGGTCGATGGGGAGGCACACACTGAGGGGACACAATCTGTGAAATCTGCCGATGCTGTTGAATGGGCATCAAATTAATGAAATTAGGCGACGCCAATGAATTTTCCCGATGTCAATAATTCTCGGTCGCATATTATTCATAACCGGGCAGCCACACACACACACAGCCATCGTGTGGCCATGGCAAGTGGTCGATTTTCTCTGGCAATTTATGAATCCGAAAGTGAGTTTTATGTGACTTTATCGACATTGCAGCTGACATGTGCATGGACACACATGTCCCAGTGCCCAGCGAGGAGCCACTGAAGCAACAGTTGTCGAATGGCTTAAAGGGAGAATTTTTGCTTCGAAAATATTCTGATTTAAAGTTTACAAATATAAATTCTTTTAATGTTGCTTGATAAATACTCGTGGCATATTTCTTCTCGAAGCATCACATTGCCATTAAAAGTTCTCGCGAGTCACTTGGAATCCACTTGACTTTTATGTCTTGACACTTATTTGATTTTATGATCAATTGAAGTAATTCAATATCCAGTTGCTATTCCTAATGGCTTTGGAAGGAAGTTTTCCGTTGCTGCTCCTCGCCCACCCAGCTTTGGCTTGTGACCCTTAAAGGCCCCTTAAAGTCCCTTAAAATGCCTGCCCCTGGCTGGAAAGGCACTCGCCTTTGAACAAATGAACTCATTTGTTCTAATTTAATCTTATTACACGGAGATTTATTGCCCTGCGCATGATATGGCAACCCTTTGGGCACTCTCGACTCTCGGCACAAGTCCGAGCTGGAGGCAAGGCCCGGAGTGACTCTGACTTTTGTTTGCTTTGGATTCTGTTTCGGGGCTGCAGGCGGGAAGGCAATTCAAGTGAAAGTGCTCCAAAGTTAATTATGATTGATTGAGTGCCATTGAAAGTGAAAGCGTGGGTGCGGGTGGGGGGGGGCAACTGACTTTTGTGAATTTTCCAACTGCTCCACGAATCCACCAACTGCACGAATCGTACATTTGACAGCCAGACTGTAATTGACAGCCGAACATTGATCGTTTTGGCTTTAAAGAGCAGCGTGCAAGAACGCCAGAACTCTACGCTTAACTGAGGAATTAAATTTGATGGGTGGCCCAGGCCACGCCCAGCTCCCAACTACCAGTTAGAGGCTTATGTGTCCCCCAGGAATTTGCCGAGCGCACTCGCATATAAAAGCTAAATAATTAAATATAGTAAAACTTTAATGTGAATCGGGTGCCATAAAAACAGATTACGAATGGAATTTCAAATGTTTGCCAGCTGTGGCAGAGCGCGGGAAGCCCCTGCCCCAATCCCCACCGATTGTTTCTCGCAATTTGGACTCTGTTTATCTTGTTGCCTGATGAATTGGCCTCGCCGCAGGTGGGCAGTGACGGATGAGGCCTGCCTCCTCTCCCTCCTGTAAATCAGAGCCACCTTGTGGGTGTATTTGCACTTTGGTGCTTACCAGATTGCGGCACTTGAGCAGAGCTCTCCTCTCCTGTGTGTGCTGTGTGGCGGAGTGGAGTGGAGTGGAGAGTGCATTTGTGGCAGGCCGGCTGGCGGCAGACCATCTTGGCCACACAGTGGGTACAATTTCGAGAGAGCTTCTGTCTGCTGGCAATAAAATGTTTCCAGTGCCAGTTCCCTCCCCCCATTGATCCACAGATCGTGTTTCGGCCCATTGTCCAGGCCCATCTGGACAATCTGCCGACCCCTGTTGTGCCTTTGTGATTGCATCTCTCTGTCTGCCATGTCCATGTCCATGTCCATATCCTGTGCCTGGCGTTTGTCGCACTGCCAGTCTATGGTAATTTATGTGCTGCAATCTAAACTCATTTAGCACGCAGCGAGGCGAATATGTGGCCAGAGCTGTGGAACTACTGGCGGGGCACCGCACAGCACACTCCACCGACGTGACCTCGTTCCCCCGAAAGTCCTTTGGTCGCACTGCCATAGGCCCAGTTAGTGCTGTTTGTCCTCAAATTGGCTTCGGCCTGTTGTGCATCCTCACCCTCCATCCTCCATCCTCCATCCACCATCCTCTATGCTCTGTCTGTAATGAAGTTATCGTGTTGACACTTGGCTTCGTTATATAAGCGCACCACAAGCGGCACCGCACATCTTTGCAGTTTTGCTGGTTTTATGGCAGGGCTGATCTGCAGGGCCGCAGCCGCAGCCGCACCCCGCACAGCTGTTGCTCATTTCCTACGACATCAGCATGCCTAAGCCACGAAGCAGCAGCAACAGAGATAACCACACACACACACACACACACACACACACACACATAAGCATAGCGAATTCATATTTTCTGAAGGCAGTGGTGGAAAGGGTGGGACGTGGGAGGCGCCTGCCTCGTTGCCTTCCTCGTGCTCGTCAGCGTCAACAAGCTTTTCATTTCAGTCTTAATTCCTTTTGAATAATATCTACCACTTAAACTTACAAAGCCCCGGGACCGCACGAGCACACGCACGCACGCCAGGCGGGGCCTCATGTACTTATCGTCAAGAGCCATTCAGGCTAGGCCCGCCCCGCCCCGCGACCCATCTTAGGCACGGGCGGGACTAGGGGGATGCACAGTGTGGATTCTCGTTCAGCTGTCCAAGTCGTTGTTTCGTCTCTAATGCTCGAGATTTACAAATCAGGAGCAGTTTAAGTCGGCTAAGAAATATGAAATTGAAATATGGGAACGCTATTCATCAATTAGGTAAATGTACTACTTCCGAGCTGTGATTAAAATAATGCATCGGCTTAAGAATTGAGAATATAATTTTTAAGAATATTCTCTAACGAAAAATGCTGCACACGAGAGTAATACATACTCGTACATATGTTTATGTACATTATCCCCTAACAAAACTGTGTATGTGTCTGCATACACCTAAAGCTCACTTTCCCCTTTTAAGGCACGCCGCCTGCTTACTCCTGCTCCTTTTTCTACGTTTAATTGCGAACTTGTCAAAATATTTGAATATGTCTCTTTGTTTTCCTCTGGCTCTTTCTTACGTATGCATGAATGTTTTTAGACATGGAGTGGAGAGAGTGCAGAGAGTGCAGAGAGTACTTACCAGATATTGGCGGTCTACACGTTTGTGCTGTGGCTGCGGCTGCGGCTGCGGCTTTCATCTCCACATTTGATGCCATCTTGGAAACATTTATGTATGCCCCCACTCAATGGGCCTCTGGGGAGACGCAGATTTTGTTTGTGTTGGCTGTCTGTCATTGGCTCAAAGTCAACAGTGAAGTCGCGGCAGCAGGCCCGAGGCCAAAAGTGTTTCACAAATTAATTACGGCCACTCACCGCAGCAAATTGGAGTGCACTAGCGCCAGGGGGCAAGTTCATGATGAATATGAAAGATAAATTAGTTAGTTAGTTGGTTGGCTTGATCTGTTTGGAAACAGAAGTTTGACATTGCAACATTATGTTGCTCCGAAAATCTACATTTGCCAGTACTGACAGTGAAGGGCTCTCCGACGTTTGTGTTTCGAGTTTCTGTAATAATCTGGAAGCCTTGACACCTGCAAATGAATTTTGTCAATTAGCAACAGCTTTCAGAATTTATGTGCCAGCTTTGCCCACACAGAATACAATATGATTCGGGAATACCATATGAAGGCATTTGAATTTCCATTTGTGGATGATATGAATTATTGATCTGCGACACGTTTTGTTAGATTTGCACAGAGTTAATCCCTTTGTACATATGTACGTTCCGTGAGGCTAAACACCGCTAAATTGTTCAAATAAATATTACAATTAGTTTGTGTTTGTTGTTCAGCTTCTGCCAACATGCGAAATATTTACAAAATGCACAAGTTTAATGCGGGGATATGCATTTAAATTTGAGTTGCATTTCTGCTTGCAAATTCCTCAATTTTTCAATCTACAAAATTCACGTCTCTGTCCAAGCTAACTTTGACTGTAAATTTGTGAACTGATATTCTGAT